TGGAATTTGCATCTTCACCAGAGTTGACCGTTGGCTTGAATTAAAACCAATAAAAACATCAGTGGCTTCTTCTGCACAGACGCCGCGTTGTCCAAGTATAATGTGCCATTGATTGTGTTGGGGAGTGTCAGCAAAATCCCTCTTCTCCCCGTCGGGGAATTGAACCCCGGTCTCCCGCGTGACAGGCGGGGATACTGACCACTATACTAACGAGGAACACAAACAAATTGAGCATTCCTCGTCATGAGCAAATACTTTCAGTCCTACAATTTTAAATATGAGGTTGAGACATGACGGGATCCAAAACACCTGTAGAAACAGGCATTGGTGGTTCAGTGGTGGAATTCTCGCCTGCCACGCGGGAGGCCCGGGTTCGATTCCCGGCCAATGCAGCATACGCTTTAGCACACTTAGTGGTAGAATTCTCTTCTGTACCGAGGGAGGCCGGCCAATGCAGCTTCCGTCACAATGTGGCCGGGAATTGGAATCACAATGTAAAAATAGTGGCCCGAATTGAGGCACTTCATTAGGTTTACTCAAAACCTCTGTCACAAGTGGGATTCGAACCAAGTCCTCCAAGGGAGACTGCGATCGGAACGCAGCCAAGTCGCAATTTTAATGTGAAAATTGGCCGTAATTTGGCCACCTCTTGCGGAATATCTGGTCAATGTGAGTCGCACAAGTCTAAACGTGAGATTGACACAGGACAACTCACTCTCTATATCCCCTTCGAATCACAATGTAAAAATAGTGGCCCGAATTGAGGCGCTTCATTAGGTTTACTCAAAAACTGTCAGAAGTGGGATTCGAACCCACGCCTCCAGGGGAGACTGCGACCTGAACACAGCGCCTTAGACCGCTCGGCCATCCTGACATGCAATTTACACGTTCACCAGAGTTGATCGTTGGCTTGAATTAAAACATCAGTGGCTTCTTCTGCACAGATGCTGTGTTGTCCAAGTATAATGTGCCATTGATTGTGTTGGGGAGTGTCAGTAAAAACCCTCTTCTCCCCGTCGGGGAATTGAACCCCGGTCTCCCGCGTGACAGGCGGGGATACTGACCACTATACTAACGAGGAACACAAGTGCATTGAACATTCCTCGTCACGATCAAATACTTTCAGTCCTACAATTTTAAATATGAGGTTGAGACATGATGGGATCCAAAACACCAGCAAAACAGGCATTGGTGGTTCAGTGGTAGAATTCTCGCCTGCCACGCGGGTGGCCCGGGTTCGATTCCCGGCCAATGCAGCATACACTTTAGCACACTTAGTGGTAGAATTCTCTTCTGTACCGAGGGAGGCCGGCCAATGCAGCTTCCGTCACAATGTGGCCGGGAATTGGAATCACAATGTAAAAATAGTGGCCCGAATTGAGGCACTTCATTAGGTTTACTCAAAACCTCTGTCAGAAGTGGGATTCGAACCAAGTCCTCCAATGGAGACTGCAATCTGAACGCAGCCAAGTCGCAGTTGTAATGTGTAATTCGGCCACCTCTTGCGGAATATCTGGTCAATGTGAGATTGCCACAGGAAGACACACTCTTTACGCAGCCAAGTCGCAGTTGTAATGTGAAAACTGGCCATAATTCGGCCACCTCTTGCAAAATATCTGGTCAATGTGAGATTGACACAGGAAGACGCTATTTAGATCCCTTCCGAATCACAATGTAAAAAAATTGGCCCCAATTGAGGCACTTCATTAGGTTTACTCAAAACCTCTGTCACAAGTGGGATTCGAACCAAGTCCTCCAAGGGAGACTGCGATCGGAACGCAGCCAAGTCGCAGTTTTAATGTGAAAATTGGCCGTAATTTGGCCACCTCTTGCGTAATATCTGGTCAATGTGAGTCGCACAAGTCTAAACGTGAGATTGACACAGGACAACTCACTCTCTATATCCCCTTCGAATCACAATGTAAAAATAGTGGCCGGAATTGAGGCGCTTCATTAGGTTTACTCAAAAACTGTCAGAAGTGGGATTTGAACCCACGCCTCCAGGGGAGACTGCGACCTGAACGCAGCGCCTTAGACCGCTCGGCCATCCTGACATGGAATTTACACTTTCACCAGAGTTGATCGTTGGCTTGAATTAAAACATCAGTGGCTTCTTCTGCACAGATGCCGTGTTGTCCAAGTGTAATGTGCCATTGATTGTGTTGGGGAGTGTCAGTAAAATCCCTCTCCTCCCCGTCGGGGAATTGAACCCCAGTCTCCCGCGTGACAGGCGGGGATACTGACCACTACACTAACGAGGAACACAAGTGCATTGAACATTCCTCGTCACGATCAAATACTTTCAGTCCTACAATTTTAAATATGAGGTTGAGACATGACGGGATCCAAAACACCAGCGAAAACAGGCATTGGTGGTTCAGTGGTAGAATTCTCGCCTGCCACGCGGGAGGCCCGGGTTCGATTCCCGGCCAATGCAGCATACACTTTAGCACACTTAGTGGTAGAATTCTCTTCTGTACCGAGGGAGGCCGGCCAATGCAGCTTCCGTCACAATGTGGCCGGGAATTGGAATCACAATGTAAAAATAGTGGCCCGAATTGAGGCACTTCATTAGGTTTACTCAAAACCTCTGTCAGAAGTGGGATTCGAACCAAGTCCTCCAATGGAGACTGCAATCTGAACGCAGCCAAGTCGCAGTTGTAATGTGTAATTCGGCCACCTCTTGCGGAATATCTGGTCAATGTGAGATTGCCACAGGAAGACACACTCTTTAACGCAGCCAAGTCGCAGTTGTAATGTGAAAACTGGCCATAATTCGGCCACCTCTTGCGGAATATCTGGTCAATGTGAGATTGACACAGGAAGACGCTATTTAGATCCCTTCCGAATCACAATGTAAAAAAATTGGCCCGAATTGAGGCACTTCATTAGGTTTACTCAAAACCTCTGTCACAAGTGGGATTCGAACCAAGTCCTCCAATGGAGACTGCAATCTGAACGCAGCCAAGTCGCAGTTGTAATGTGAAAATTGGCCGTAATTTGGCCACCTCTTGCGGAATATCTGGTCAATGTGAGATTGACACAGGAAGACACACTATTTACCACAGCCAAGTCGCAATTGTAATGTGAAAACTGGCCGTAATTCGGCCACCTCTTGCGGAATATCTGGGCAATGTGAGATTGACACAGGAAGACACTCTTTAGATCCCTTCCGAATCACAATGTAAAAAAATTGGCCCGAATTGAGGCAGTTTATTAGGTTTGCTCAAACACTGTCAGAAGTGGGATTCGAACCCACGCCTCCAGGGGAGACTGCTACCTGAATGCAGCGCTTTAGACCGCTGATGGCCGGCCAATTGAGCCCAGTTGTTTGATCGATTAAGAGGTGTAATGTGAAAACTGGCCATAATTCGACCACCTCTTGCGTAATATCGGGTCAATGTGAGTCGCACAAGTCTAAACGTGAGATTGACACAGGACAACTCACTCTCTATATCCCCTTCGAATCACAATGTAAAAATAGTGGCCCGTATTGAGGCGCTTCATTAGGTTTACTCAAAAACTGTCAGAAGTGGGATTCGAACCCAAGCCTCCAGGGGAGACTGCGACCTGAACGCAGCGCCTTAGACCGCTCGGCCATCCTGACATGGAATTTACACGTTCACCAGAGTTGATCGTTGGCTTGAATTAAAACATCAGTGGATTCTTCTGCACAGATGCCGTGTTGTCCAAGTATAATGTGCCATTGATTGTGTTGGGGAGTGTCAGTAAAAACCATCTACTCCCCATCGGGGAATTGAACCCCGGTCTCCCGCGTGACAGGCGGGGATACTGACCACTATACTAACGAGGAACACAAGTGCATTGAACATTCCTGTACCGAGGGAGGCCGGCCAATGCAGCTTCCGTCACAATGTGGCCGGGAATTGGAATCACAATGTAAAAATAGTGGCCCGAATTGAGGCACTTCATTAGGTTTACTCAAAACCTCTGTCAGAAGTGGGATTCGAACCAAGTCCTCCAATGGAGACTGCAATCTGAACGCAGCCAAGTCGCAGTTGTAATGTGTAATTCGGCCACCTCTTGCGGAATATCTGGTCAATGTGAGATTGCCACAGGAAGACACACTCTTTAACGCAGCCAAGTCGCAGTTGTAATGTGAAAACTGGCCATAATTCGGCCACCTCTTGCGGAATATCTGGTCAATGTGAGATTGACACAGGAAGACGCTATTTAGATCCCTTCCGAATCACAATGTAAAAAAATTGGCCCGAATTGAGGCACTTCATTAGGTTTACTCAAAACCTCTGTCACAAGTGGGATTCGAACCAAGTCCTCCAAGGGAGACTGCGATCGGAACGCAGCCAAGTCGCAGTTTTAATGTGAAAATTGGCCGTAATTTGGCCACCTCTTGCGGAATATCTGGTCAATGTGAGATTGACACAGGAAGACACACTCTTTACCACAGCCAAGTCGCAATTGTAATGTGAAAACTGGCCGTAATTCGGCCACCTCTTGCGGAATATCTGGTCAATGTGAGATTGACACAGGAAGACACTCTTTAGATCCCTTTCGAATCACAATGTAATAAAATTGGCCCGAATTGAGGCACTTCATTAGGTTTGCTTAAACACTGTCAGAAGTGGGATTCGAACCCACGCCTCCAGGGGAGACTGCGACCTAAACGCAGCGCCTTAGACCGCTCGGCCATCCTGACATGGAATTTGCATCTTCACCAGAGTTGACCGTTGGCTTGAATTAAAACCAATAAAAACATCAGTGGCTTCTTCTGCACAGACGCCGCGTTGTCCAAGTATAATGTGCCATTGATTGTGTTGGGGAGTGTCAGCAAAATCCCTCTTCTCCCCGTCGGGGAATTGAACCCCGGTCTCCCGCGTGACAGGCGGGGTTACTGACCACTATACTAACGAGGAACACAAACAAATTGAGCATTCCTCGTCATGAGCAAATACTTTCAGTCCTACAATTTTAAATATGAGGTTGAGACATGACGGGATCCAAAACACCTGTAGAAACAGGCATTGGTGGTTCAGTGGTAGAATTCTCGCCTGCCACGCGGGAGGCCCGGGTTCGAATGCAGCTTCCGTCACAATGTGGCCGGGAATTGGAATCACAATGTAAAAATAGTGGCCCGAATTGAGGCACTTCATTAGGTTTACTCAAAACCTCTGTCACAAGTGGGATTCGAACCAAGTCCTCCAAGGGAGACTGCGATCGGAACGCAGCCAAGTCGCAATTTTAATGTGAAAATTGGCCATAATTTGACCACCTCTTGCGGAATATCTGGTCAATGTGAGTCGCACAAGTCTAAATGTGAGATTGACACAGGACAACTCACTCTCTATATCCCCTTCGAATCACAATGTAAAAATAGTGGCCCGAATTGAGGCGCTTCATTAGGTTTACTCAAAAACTGTCAGAAGTGGGATTCAAACCCACGCCTCCAGGGGAGACTGCGACCTGAACGCAGCGCCTTAGACCGCTCGGCCATCCTGACATGAATTTTACACGTTCACCAGAGTTGATCGTTGGCTTGAATTAAAACATCAGTGGCTTCTTCTGCACAGATGCCGTGTTGTCCAAGTATAATGTGCCATTGATTGTGTTGGGGAGTGTCAGTAAAAACCCTCTCCTCCCCGTCGGGGAATTGAACCCCGGGCTCCCGCGTGACAGGCGGGGATACTGACGACTACACTAACGAGGAACACAAGTGCATTGAACATTCCTCGTCACGATCAAATACTTTCAGTCCTACAATTTTAAATATGAGGTTGAGACATGACGGGATCCAAAACACCAGCGAAAACAGGCATTGGTGGTTCAGTGGTAGAATTCTCGCCTGCCACGCGGGTGGCCCGGGTTCGATTCCCGGCCAATGCAGCATACACTTTAGCACACTTAGTGGTAGAATTCTCTTCTGTACCGAGGGAGGCCGGCCAATGCAGCTTCCGTCACAATGTGGCCGGGAATTGGAATCACAATGTAAAAATAGTGGCCCGAATTGAGGCACTTCATTAGGTTTACTCAAAACCTCTGTCAGAAGTGGGATTCGAACCAAGTCCTCCAATGGAGACTGCAATCTGAACGCAGCCAAGTCGCAGTTGTAATGTGTAATTCGGCCACCTCTTGCGGAATATCTGGTCAATGTGAGATTGCCACAGGAAGACACACTCTTTAACGCAGCCAAGTCGCAGTTGTAATGTGAAAACTGGCCATAATTCGGCCACCTCTTGCGGAATATCTGGTCAATGTGAGATTGACACAGGAAGACGCTATTTAGATCCCTTCCGAATCACAATGTAAAAAAATTGGCCCGAATTGAGGCACTTCATTAGGTTTACTCAAAACCTCTGTCACAAGTGGGATTCGAACCAAGTCCTCCAAGGGAGACTGCGATCGGAACGCAGCCAAGTCGCAGTTTTAATGTGAAAATTGGCCGTAATTTGGCCACCTCTCGCGTAATATCTGGTCAATGTGAGTCGCACAAGTCTAAACGTGAGATTGACACAGGACAACTCACTCTCTATATCCCCTTCGAATCAAAATGTAAAAATAGTGGCCCGAATTGAGGCGCTTCATTAGGTTTACTCAAAAACTGTCAGAAGTGGGATTCGAACCCACGCCTCCAGGGGAGACTGCGACCTGAACGCAGCGCCTTAGACCTCTCGGCCATCCTGACATGGAATTTACACGTTCACCAGAGTTGATCGTTGGCTTGAATTAAAACATCAGTGGCTTCTTCTGCACAGATGCCGTGTTGTCCAAGTGTAATGTGCCATTGATTGTGTTGGGGAGTGTCAGTAAAAACCCTCTCCTCCCCGTCGGGGAATTGAACCCCGGGCTCCCGCATGACAGGCGGGGATACTGACGACTACACTAACGAGGAACACAAGTGCATTGAACATTCCTCGTCACGATCAAATACTTTCAGTCCTACAATTTTAAATATGAGGTTGAGACATGACGGGATCCAAAACACCAGCGAAAACAGGCATTGGTGGTTCAGTGGTAGAATTCTCGCCTGCCACGCGGGGGACCCGGGTTCGATTCCCGGCCAATGCAGCATACACTTTAGCACACTTAGTGGTAGAATTCTCTTCTGTACCGAGGGAGGCCGGCCAATGCAGCTTCCGTCACAATGTGGCCGGGAATTGGAATCACAATGTAAAAATAGTGGCCCGAATTGAGGCACTTCATTAGGTTTACTCAAAACCTCTGTCAGAAGTGGGATTCGAACCAAGTCCTCCAATGGAGACTGCAATCTGAACGCAGCGCTTTAGACCGCTGATGGCCGGCCAATTGAGCCCAGTTGTTTGATCGATTAAGAGGTGTAATGTGAAAACTGGCCATAATTCGACCACCTCTTGCGTAATATCGGGTCAATGTGAGTCGCACAAGTCTAAACGTGAGATTGACACAGGACAACTCACTCTCTATATCCCCTTCGAATCACAATGTAAAAATAGTGGCCCGTATTGAGGCGCTTCATTAGGTTTACTCAAAAACTGTCAGAAGTGGGATTCGAACCCACGCCTCCAGGGGAGACTGCGACCTGAACGCAGCGCCTTAGACCGCTCGGCCATCCTGACATGGAATTTACACGTTCACCAGAGTTGATCGTTGGCTTGAATTAAAACATCAGTGGATTCTTCTGCACAGATGCCGTGTTGTCCAAGTATAATGTGCCATTGATTGTGTTGGGGAGTGTCAGTAAAAACCATCTACTCCCCATCGGGGAATTGAACCCCGGTCTCCCGCGTGACAGGCGGGGATACTGACCACTATACTAACGAGGAACACAAGTGCATTGAACATTCCTGTACCGAGGGAGGCCGGCCAATGCAGCTTCCGTCACAATGTGGCCGGGAATTGGAATTACAATGTAAAAATAGTGGCCCGAATTGAGGCACTTCATTAGGTTTACTCAAAACCTCTGTCAGAAGTGGGATTCGAACCAAGTCCTCCAATGGAGACTGCAATCTGAACGCAGCCAAGTCGCAGTTGTAATGTGTAATTCGGCCACCTCTTGCGGAATATCTGGTCAATGTGAGATTGCCACAGGAAGACACACTCTTTAACGCAGCCAAGTCGCAGTTGTAATGTGAAAACTGGCCATAATTCGGCCACCTCTTGTGGAATATCTGGTCAATGTGAGATTGACACAGGAAGACGCTATTTAGATCCCTTCCGAATCACAATGTAAAAGAATTGGCCCGAATTGAGGCACTTCATTAGGTTTACTCAAAACCTCTGTCACAAGTGGGATTCGAACCAAGTCCTCCAAGGGAGACTGCGATCGGAACGCAGCCAAGTCGCAGTTTTAATGTGAAAATTGGCCGTAATTTGGCCACCTCTTGCGGAATATCTGGTCAATGTGAGATTGACACAGGAAGACACACTCTTTACCACAGCCAAGTCGCAATTGTAATGTGAAAACTGGCCGTAATTCGGCCACCTCTTGCGGAATATCTGGTCAATGTGAGATTGACACAGGAAGACACTCTTTAGATCCCTTTCGAATCACAATGTAATAAAATTGGCCCGAATTGAGGCACTTCATTAGGTTTGCTTAAACACTGTCAGAAGTGGGATTCGAACCCACGCCTCCAGGGGAGACTGCGACCTAAACGCAGCGCCTTAGACCGCTCGACCATCCTGACATGGAATTTGCATCTTCACCAGAGTTGACCGTTGGCTTGAATTAAAACCAATAAAAACATCAGTGGCTTCTTCTGCACAGACGCCGCGTTGTCCAAGTATAATGTGCCATTGATTGTGTTGGGGAGTGTCAGCAAAATCCCTCTTCTCCCCGTCTGGGAATTGAACCCCGGTCTCCCGCGTGACAGGCGGGGATACTGACCACTATACTAACGAGGAACACAAACAAATTGAGCATTCCTCGTCATGAGCAAATACTTTCAGTCCTACAATTTTAAATATGAGGTTGAGACATGACGGGATCCAAAACACCTGTAGAAACAGGCATTGGTGGTTCAGTGGTAGAATTCTCGCCTGCCACGCGGGAGGCCCGGGTTCGATTCCCGGCCAATGCAGCATACGCTTTAGCACACTTAGTGGTAGAATTCTCTTCTGTACCGAGGGAAGCCGGCCAATGCAGCTTCCATCACAATGTGGCCGGGAATTGGAATCACAATGTAAAAATAGTGGCCCGAATTGAGGCACTTCATTAGGTTTACTCAAAACCTCTGTCACAAGTGGGATTCGAACCAAGTCCTCCAAGGGAGACTGCGATCGGAACGCAGCCAAGTCGCAGTTTTAATGTGAAAATTGGCCGTAATTTGGCCACCTCTTGCGTAATATCTGGTAAATGTGAGTCGCACAAGTCTAAACGTGAGATTGACACAGGACAACTCACTCTCTATATCCCCTTCGAATCAGAATGTAAAAATAGTGGCCCGAATTGAGGCGCTTCATTAGGTTTACTCAAAAACTGTCAGAAGTGGGATTCGAACCCACGCCTCCAGGGGAGACTGCGACCTGAACGCAGCGCCTTAGACCGCTCGGCCATCCTGACATGGAATTTACACGTTCACCAGAGTTGATCGTTGGCTTGAATTAAAACATCAGTGGCTTCTTCTGCACAGATGCCGTGTTGTCCAAGTGTAATGTGCCATTGATTGTGTTGGGGAGTGTCAGCAAAATCCCTCTTCTCCCCGTCGGGGAATTGAACCCCGGTCTCCCGCGTGACAGGCGGGGATACTGACCACTATACTAACGAGGAACACAAACAAATTGAGCATTCCTCGTCATGAGCAAATACTTTCAGTCCTACAATTTTAAATATGAGGTTGAGACATGACGGGATCCAAAACACCTGTAGAAACAGGCATTGGTGGTTCAGTGGTAGAATTCTCGCCTGCCACGCGGGAGGCCCGGGTTCGATTCCCGGCCAATGCAGCATCTGCTTTAGCACACTTAGTGGTAGAGTTCTCTTCTGTAGTGAGGGTGGCCGGTTCCGATTCCCCGGCGAATGCAGCTTCCATCACATTGTGGCCGGGAGTCGAAATCACAATGTAAAAATAGAGGCCCGAATTGAGGCACTTCATTAGGTTTACTCAAAACCTCTGTCA